TTACTTAGGATTATCGTTTATAATATGATCTTCTATAAGCAGGTTCCTTGTTGCGCAAATACTTGACAGTTTTCACATAAATAAATAGGATTGTAAAAGTGAGGCGATGAAAAAAATATAAAAACTCCAGCTTATGTGATTACAGCAGAAACTATTTGAAGCAATTTTCTTTCTTGTAAACAGTTTTATTTTATTAAAAAAAAATTCATATTCAGAAAACAAATGCAGTTCAAGAGTGTATTGTTTCCTTGCATGAAAATAATTTTGTGTGAGTTCTGCAGCTACCTTACATCATTTTCAAGTTGTAAGATTGTGGGTTAAGTATTGAAAGGATTAAACTGTTGTACCTATAGCAATGTATCTGTACATGATTGTATAGTGATGTATTCAATGTTGACTAATGTAGCAATTACTTACGTAAATCAAGAGTTTATCTGTACATACTGGTACATCAAAATAAATGTGTTTTGTATTATTGTTACCTGCAAATACTGTACATTACTTTAAACTTGAATTTCATTCCACAATATGTCTTTGTTGCTGAGGTAAAAATTACAGAAATTCTAGTCATAGTCGCTTGACAGCACTTGTTAGAAACGAATTCTGAGTTAAATACTTAAATAGTGAAGTATAATGTTTGGTTATAAATAAGATGAACAAATTTTGAAATCTTGTCTACAAAAATTGGCCTAAAGAGACAGAGCAGGAAATTTAACTTCCATGGCAGATTGGCTATTAATTTGTTTACTGTCAAACATTTTGGACCTTTTTATATGACCCACCACTCCTCAGTTTGGAGTTTCAATTAAAATGAAATCCATGTAATATATTTTGAGTTGCCTACTTCTAGTCATTTACATTTCTTCAAAAAGCCAATACTTTGAAGGTGAGTTAAAATAAAAATTGGTACCAGCACGGTAGCTACCTTGGAAAACAAAAAATTATAACCATTTACACGACTCATTTGAGGCCTTAGCATATAAAATGCTGTCGCTTCCACGTCAATTAAATAAATTATGGAATGGCATTTTTATTTCTGACAACCATCTGAATTTAATACCGGTAGTTCAAAATCAAAACTTCAGTTCCACTGTAATTGTATAGCTAAAAGTATAAGTCTGAATGAATTAAGTGAGGAGTTTAATATTCATTTTATATTGGTTAGTGTGGAATATTTTTCAATAATTAGATTCATTATGCTTTCACCCTTTAGTTAAACTTAAATTTTGCAAGAAAGAGCTTGAATGAATGAATGGAAACAGATCTTCAAAACATAATTTTTAAAAATATTTATATATTTTCTTTTGAAGGGGTTGGTCAAGTGCTTCTGGGGAGGGGCATCTCATTATGCTTATTTGTGCAGAATGCTTATGTGTGCAGAATCATGACACTTATACTAGCTGTTAATATGTGGGGGAAAAAATGTGGCAGTAGCTTTGCAGGCCATTTTGCCAATGGACATTGTTTATTTGATTACCAAGAAATTACTGAACAGTAGATAGTATCCAGCTCAAAGTAAACAATAATAAATACTTTCATTTAGTTGAAGACTTCTTTTTTTTTTATTAGTTTAAAATAAAGAAATATTTCCAATGTCAAAGTTGATTATTTTATCTGAGATAAAGTGAAATAACTTTAAAAAAAAAATATTGCTTTGCAAAAAATGGTTTTGCTGAACTTGAGGAACATTTTTAACTTTTTAAAAAAAATCCCTTTTAAAGTTAATGTGCAATTGTTCAAAATATGTACCGTATTTATTGGCGTACAACACGCCCCCCGCTTATAACAATAGCACGCACCTCAATTTAAGAAGGAAATTGCAGGGAAAAAAAATAAACATTATATCGGTGTATAACACGCACACATCATTTGCTCCCTATTTTCAGGTAGAAAAAGTGCATGTTACACGCCAATAAATACGGTATTTAAAAATCTTAAAGGTAAAACCTTCTTTTTACGGACACATAAGGGAGGGGTATGAAAAAGGAATTCATGCTATAGAGAGGGCCAGTATTAATCACTATTATATTATTATCCTAAAAAACATTAGTTGATAAAAGGTGGGTATATTATTTCATATTGTCCCAATCAAGTCTTAAAATTTGCTGAAGCTGTAAAATTTGTTATAAATCTAATTAACACACACCTAATGAATAACATAATATTCAATTGTAAGTATTGTTATAATTGCATTTCTTTTTTTTTAAAGTTAACCCTTCAGAATTAGGGTTAAATATATTCAGAATTTATATTTGTATTTTATTTAACCATACTGAATACTATTTATTTGGAATCAAAAGTAATGATATCAATGTCACAATTTAAATATGGAACTTACTTGTGTCTGAGAGTTGTGCTTGCAGGTAAAATTTAGTGGCAATAAAAATGAATATATTTGAAAGAATACATTTTTTGTACTGTCACGTCATAATGCTTCTATTATTTTTTCTGACATCCATCTGTCTCCAAGAAAAGATAGTGTAGTTTCATTGGAAGGGGTAAATCCAAGGTGCTTTAATCATCATCAGTGGCGCTACAGCCCTGTAGGGCCCTGGTCTGCTCCACAGCATCCTTCAATTCGGATCAATCCATGGCTTTCCGCCTCCATGCACAAACCCCAACTGGAGTAAATCCTTCTCTTTATCCTCGCTCCATCTCAGTTTTGGACGACCAGTGAGCCATCGGCCCCTAGGTTTCTGCCTGTATTTCACTTTTGCTTCTCTACAATGCAGTATCCTTTCAATATGCCCAGCCCAGCGCAGTCTGCCTTTTTTTTATTGTTGCAACTATGGATGGGTCTTTGTACAATTGGTATAGCTCCTGGTTTGTACCGGTTCTGCATACGTCATTTTCTGTCATTTGGCCATATATTTTTCTGAGGATTTTCCTCTCCCATGTATTTAGAAGGTTATATGCTTTTCTGGTTAGGGAGCAAGTCTCACTAGCGTAAGTTACTACTAGTCCTATGATAGTGGTGTATATTGTCTTCTTTGTTCCCCTTTAAGGTGCTTTAATGGAGAATTAAATCTTTCCTTATCAGCAGGTAACCCCCTCTCCATGCAGCTTGTTAACCCAAAACAAATCAAATGAACAATACAGATTGGTACCAGTACCAGAGTGTTGTAGTAGGTAGGAGATAACCAGGATTTTCATAGAATGTTTAGATTTGTTGTTAAGTTTTACTCCAGAGCCTTTACCCATGCGATGTGTGGCCCCAAGGTAGAATAGGTTTGTAGTAGTTTTTTGAAAGGTTTCTTTAGATGAGTCACCATTGGAGGTTGACGAAACTTAAATGCCTGGAATAGTTTTGGTTTTTTCTTTAATCCCTTCATAATCAGTGTCTACATTTAGTAGAAACCGGAATATATGCTATCCACATGCTTGGTTATCCTAACTCTTATTTTGTGACCAATATCCAATGCATGTTTGGCAAGAGTATCATTCAAAGGAAGGCACCCCAGGAAAAACTTTGATTTTTATTATTTAAAACATGATAAAAACCTACCCATTGACCAGGAAAAAAAAATTAACCATTAAATTATAACTTTTTCAATTTCAAAGTTAACTGAAGGCTACTTGATTTGTTAAAGAAAATATCTTGGCTAAAATTTAAAGAAAAAAAATTATGTGAGGGCTACACAGAGTTTTTAAATCAAGAAAAACTGCACAAAGACATTGTAATTGTAAATTGTAAAGGGAAATATTGATTACAATACATGATCAATTTCTCTAATTTAGTACAATGGTTTTGGTGAGAAATATGCAATGCTGCAACTACAATGGCGTGAAAATTCATACACTATACAAATTACAATATCCATCCATTGCAGCAACTGGGAAAATAAATGACTATATTTTTTTCTTCTATGTTAACGGTAAAAGAAAAAAAAAGGGGGAGGTGGAAAATGATTCTGACTGAAATTTTTTGAAACTAAGAAGTGAGATATTATTATTATACATATAATAATATGTATAATAATAATATCTCTCTTCTTAGTTTCAAACAATTTCAGTCAGAAACATTTTCCATGAAACCATACATTTTAAATGAAACCATACATTTAAAAACAATTTGGTAAAAAGCTTGACCTCACCCAAGTACGGTACTATCTACCCTAGTCTAGCCATGGACAGCACCCAGCAGCATCGAGCATTGTTTATCAGTTAGGTTAGATGGGGTTGAGAATGAGTTGGTAGTATAGTACATTTACAGTTTGAAGAGATGGGTCTTGATGGCAGTTTTGAAAGCTGGGATGGTCGTTAAAATATTACGGAAGTGTATGGGCATGGGCATGGGAAGTTTTAGAGACTTCTGTCTAGTCTAACTGGTTAAAAACTTTTAAAAGTTATATGATAAGGTATACTCTTTACCCAGCTAACGCATTCTTGTTAAATCTAGTGAATGTAATTTGTGGTAGGAATACTATCACATATTTTTAAAAAGCCTACATTCCACATCCTAAATTTTTGGGCAAATCTTAAAATTTATTTCGATCCGCCTTGCCTTAAATTAAACAATAAGATTAATAAGAAATAAAGTCAAAGTAGTTTTTAAAAAAAAAATGTTAGTGGGGTAAAAATTGTTGGCACGTTTTTATTCTATTTTTAAAAGGAATAGTCTATTTAAAGTGGGTTTTGCCAATAAAAAACGAGTTCATTAAGGCAATCTCAATCACTTAAAATTGAAATATAATTTTATGGCAGTGAAGGGCAACTAGCTAATGTGAATCTCTTCGAGTGGAAAATAACATAAATGTTAGCATCTTGACTGGATGTATGTATCTTAATGAACCAGTTAAGCTGAACATAATTTTTTTTAAAAATATGTTTTTTTAAATTCCCAATAATTTTACTATTTTCCCTAGAAGTTTTAAACATTAAATCAAATAAAGTTAACAAATTTTAACAATTGTAAAAAAAATATATGCAAGGGAAGTATACATTTTACAGAAACATGGAATTTGACATTGATGTGTAAATCTTTGAAACCTGGCATCCTCAATGTTGAACTCAAAATGGCGGCGTAACTCTAGTTCTAGAGTCTGCATAATTTTACATTGTGTAAGTCTACACTTTGCGGTAATTATTTGACATGTGCGTTATGATAAAATTTTATATTATTATTTACCAAAGCTGTGAAGACATTTAATTGGAATTATTTGTAACTCAAAAACAAAAAAAAAAACCTGTTGAAAAATTAAAAGTAGAGAACAGAAATAATAAACAGGCTACTTGTTGTATGTAAGTAAGACATTTTAAGACAAGACTAATATTGAAAAGAAGTGACTAGAAGGAAACTTAACATCGTATGATTGTTTAAAATCATCGTATGACACTGAACACAGACTCGTAAATTCAGATATTACACAACACTGAAGGCTGAAGTTACATGATATGTATTAAATGTAACTAGTTTCAATCATGCAGCTTATCAAACTAGGGACTTTGATAAGAAAATGTAAACTTTTTATAAAAATAAAGCAATGGCATAGTTAAATAGAGCTAATTTTTAAAAGAATTATAACACCAAAATCATATTTTTAGCTGTTGTAGTTTTAAAGTTATGAATTTTTAAAGTACGGCCTTGTTTGTCATTTTTTATCATGGATTGCATCTCCACATTCTGTGACCCAATTCAGCTGTTCGCTTCACGGTATATGCTATATAGTCTATATAAGCAACGCACCCCCTAAAATGTTGTTGGGATCTACTTATTTTGAACATTTAACTTTTGCACATGGACATGAGTAATTAACTAAAGCTTTCCCTGACCAATGGTGTTTTTGCACACATCGAAATTTGAGGTAGTACAACAGCATAGCATTATGCTAATGGCTGTGAAAGGTTTCCCATGACTTTTTGCACACTTTCAATTCTGATCGTTAATAATATGGACTCTACCTGGTTTTTAAAGCTCAATTTTAAAAATTTTAGTTTAAATGTCTTCAAAATGCATTCTGAAACACAAGTTATCAAATATTTTGATGTATATAGAAGTAATAATGAATATTTCCTAAGCTAAGTATCAGCTTTTTCCGCCATTTAAAAGGGGCGGGATCACTAATCCAAAATGGCCTGTGCGACCTTTGCATAATGAGGTCAACGTTGAGGAGAATTATGAAAATGTTTATTGAGCTATCTCAATGAAATTTCGCACACATGTACTTCAACAAATAATGCAGGCCTACTTTTAATATGAAAGAGCTACTTTGAATATTTATACAAAAAATTTTAATGCGAAGATGCCTTTTATTGACATACGATTTTCCTTACTTAGCGTTGATATAAAGAAATAATTAACTCAATGGGAATTTAGTTAAACATATCTCCTAACGTTAATGGGCGGAGTCAGACCTTAATTATGGGCCGAAAGGACTCATAATTTATTCAAATTACATGCACATGAAAAATTAAAAACTTAGATTCTATTGCGCGACGCCCATTTCGGATACAAATGTACTAGGACAGTCCCTTGATTTGTCGTAGTACCTACTTATCAAGATTTCATTTATCATTATAATTGAAGTAGCAATTCATCAATTTCAGTGTATTTTGTAGGAACTTTGCCAAGCCAATTATTTAATATACAATGAAATACCTTTAACCATTGAACGAAAAATCAGTTAACAGGAAATAATATGCGGTCCCGAGTATTATAGTATAGTATATTTATATACATTTTTTGTATGCATGGTTTAACAGTACGAAAAATTAACACAAAGAAATATTTCGGTCCCCTCAGCCTCAGTTTTGTGTTCAACGATTTTCACTGTAATTAATTAGTCATGTGCAAATGTTGAAAGTTCGATACACGTTTATACTTAAGTACGTAATAATTTCTGTCATTCACAGGACATTTCACTATAATTCCCCCCCCCCCCCCCCCCCCACTTTCAATACCAAATATAAATTAGAAACAAAGTAAATTTTCAAAAATGGAAAATAAAACAAAAACATTAACACAAATATAAAAATAGAAATATTTTGAATGCTGTGCTATAGAAAGAAGTTAACCTGCTGGAACTGGGGGAACTTCTGTGACCTATATACAGACAGTTTTACCGCCAACCCAAAATCAGCCCTGTAGGCCTAATAAGTAATAAGCCTAAGTAAGTTTAAAAGTATCCTAGATCTCATTATATATAGGTTTTCAATTTTCAAATAAAAACTTCATTGAATCATTTCTGAGTATCATTTAATATCATTAAGCCTAAACCTAATTAATTATGAAAATGCAACTTTGGAAATGTCTAAATTACTAGATAGGCCTAAACCTAACACTAGACTTACATTACCACTGGGACACAAATATCACAAATTCATGCAAAAACGTTGATTTACCACAGGAGTTAGGCCTTACACTAGTGTCACTAATCAGGATTCTCCAAATTTAAAAGCAATTTAGTAGTGCTACTTGTAAGCATTGGCATGGAAGGTATTGGTTTTGCAATAAAAATTTTGATAAATGTTGATTTGACGCACCATCTTGGTTGCCATGACGGTAGGATGTCATTGCAATCAAAATGGTGTAAGCGTAAGAGAAAGAATATGCTGTTTTAGCTATTTTGCAGAGAACAGAGAATAGAGAGAAGCGAGAATAGGAATAAAAGGTTGCAATTTAACAAAATAATTTCAGCCTGTACATTAATTTCACAGTGAACATAAAATCTTTATTGTATCCCTCTAGATATGCATCAAGAAGTGTCAACGACCTGTGGTTGCCTACTTTCCTAGTGTAATTTCAGATGGTAAATTAATTTTGTGGTGAACATATCAATTTTATTGTATCTCTCTATACATGCTTCAGGAAGTGTCAATGCCCTGCGCTCACTACCTTCCCTTAACTGAAACGCGTGCTACAGTTACACACTAAAATATTTTTAAAATGATGAAAACCCAACTAACAGTTTCATATTATACACTTTAACACAGTTAATTGCAGGTTCCACCAAAAATAAAATCGAAAAGTTGTCAGAAAAATTAATATGATAGCCTTTCTCCAAATTAATGGAAAATTTAAAAAAAACACCCAATGAAATATAAAGTTACAACATTCTATCTGTGTATTAAAAAGAAAAGAAAAGAAAAGTTAACTCTAGTAAACAATCCAAGATTAAGCAAAAGGGAGAGAATCCTACAGTGCAACTCAAATTGGTGTGGCGAACTAATATTAGCCATAAATTTCATCTTGACATTTTTATCCTTTCAGAATGATGCAATATATTTTCCAAGCATTTGATCTTTAAAATATATGCTATGGAAAGATTAGACATAACAATAATGTTTCATGTTTTTTTACTAAAAATTTAATATTATAATAGCCTACCAAAGATACGTGTTCAAAGCCTGTTCTTACATATGCCTTCCATTTGTTTAGGACTGGAAAATCCTGAAAAGTGTATAACCTGCTCATCATTAGCTGACACCATACACTGATATTCCAGTATAAGCAATATAGTACCAAAGAATATCTAGGATGAACTTATGCTGGTGTTCAAAACTAATAATTAATGCTACTATCCATATTTTTTGTTTATGTTATGTGATAAGCAGTGGTGAATTGTGAAATCTAAATTTGTAAAACATGACATTAACATTTTATTTCAAGAAGAAAATAAAACTAATAAAGTGCTTAGCCTGATAGGCCAATGTTTATTTATATTTTGGGCCTAAGGCTTCTGGTAACATATTTGAATCTTGCAGAGTGTACTGTAGACTAGGACCTCTGCAGTCCACAATAATATTTTCATTATTAAATGTACCTGGAGAAATTAAAAAAATCTCCTATGGTCCTATAATCCACCCCACTTTTTCCCTGAAATTATTTTTTTATAAGTTGGCTTTAGAGCAAGTAGGTAATAAGGGGAGAGACTGCAATCAGTTTTGGGAAAAGGAAATAAGCGAAACAAAGTATGGGAAAACCTGAAAAAAGGACACAACGAAACAACAAACATGTCGACAAGAAGCCTTCTTCAGCGAACAAATATATAATATATATTTTAAAATATATTGTAACAGTTTTTATGTGCTATCCTGTATCATTACTCATTTTGGAATCAGTCCGGACTTTGTGGGAGAGCATTGATGATGTCAAGACATGGATGGCACTCAGCAAGTTGAAGCTTAACGCTGACAAAAAGGAAGCACTCCTTATTTACGATCACAAATCATCCTCTACCTCAGCTCTCCCCACTTCATTTCATGTAGGTAACTCCGACATACAGTTTACGATCTCCGCCATACAGTTTACGATCTCCGCTAAGAATCTTGGTTATATTCTGTCTAACAACATGTCTCTCGATAATCATATATTGCACATTTGTCACTCTGCATTCACCGCTATTTGTCAGATCAGCTCCATCCGCCACTACCTCACAGTTAGGGCAACAAAAACCCTAGTCTATGCTCTTGTTCTCTCTCGCTTTGACTACGTCTTGACTATTGTAATTCTCCACAGGTTCACCAAAACACTTCTTAGAAAAATTACAAAAGGTTCAAAACTCAACTGCTAGGCTAATTCTAAAGGCAAAAAAACATGATCACGTCACACCACTACTTTATTCACTTCATTGGCTCCCTGTACAAGCACGGATTGACTACAAACTCTCTGTTCTCTGCCACAACTTTTTCTCGAATTCCTCCCCTTCCTATCTAACCGATCTTCTCTATGTCTATTTACCCATTCGACAGCTTCGCTCCTCCAAAGATGCGCATATTCTTTCTGTCCCCAAGACTCGCGCAAAAACATAAGTGAATGATAATTTTCTTTCTGTGCCCCCAAACAATGGAATTCTCTTCCACTACACATTCACAATATACCCACCATTACAGCCTTCAAAACTGCACTCAAAACACATCTCTTTAAACTCTACTCTCGTGACTGATTCCCCGCCTGACCGATAAACCATGCTGCTGGGTAGCCGTCCATGGCTTGACATGTAAATAGATTTTGAATGTGTGGAGTGAATATACATTGCTTTGTTTTAAATTTAATGAACGAAGTGGTTATACGCAGTCCTGATAGTTATACGCAGTCGTCAAGTCACGTGAGGTCTATATATTTCATGTGTTACAGTAACAATCGATAAAGTTACTTCGTTATCAGGTTGACTGGGTGGTCGAATGGTACAAACTGAGCAAACCTCATGTTGGTGGCCTGGAGTTCAATTCCAGCCAAAGGCCAGTCAAGTGTTAGTTGTTAAGTTTGTTCTCCAGAATGAACCAAAAACAGCTAAGCTCACCGTTTTACTTTTGTTTTGGCTAAAAAATGTTAAAACATGATAAGAATTAACTTGACCAATGTAATGTTAATAATGTTATTCTTATACCGGGTACTTATAACTATCGTAATTTATGTTTGTGTTGTTAATATATATGTTGGGTTGTTAACTAATTTTGTGGCAGATAAAAACATGTTTCTCTGGTACAGTAATTATAAAAAAAATAGCAGTAGGGGCAGGGGGTACTGTAGAAGGGACACTGTAAGTAATACTTTAACACAGTTATAGTTTTGCATGGAAGCTGAAAACTGTTACATTTAGGTCACCAAAAAAAAATAATCATAAATGATATAATTTTTAAAAAATAAATAGAATGTATTTCCTGAATTAGTCAGTAAAACCAACCACATAGTCATAACAACATATAAAAACCTAATAATCAGAATACAGAACTAGACTTAAACCATGGAAATGCCTTAAGGCAGTGGTCCCCAAATTGTGGTCCGTGGACCTTCACCGGTCCGCATGCCTAACACTGCCGGTCCCCATAACATAAATATTTATGGTCAAATAGAAATATAAGTATAAAAATAAATCATGCACAGGTCCCTGGTAAAATTTCGAAACTTGTTCACCGGTCCGCCAAACTTAAACGTTTGGGAACCACTGACTTAAGGCATAGTTATATAATCATCTTCTTAGTCCGAGACTCAAAGAAATTTAGACTTTGACTTAGACTTATAATTGTAATATATAAGATACAAGAAATAATACTAATAATAGCACTAATGCTATTACTATCATTCAATATTAATTAAAATTATTCAATTAAAATTTTACGTTAAACACATTAAAAGTTATAGTTCAAAACAACCCATGATGCAGCTAATTATGCATAATACTTTTATTATAAATTGCCAAACTAGCGGTAATAAACCTTATTTTGCTAAATTCCCAGCCGACTGTGTATAACCCTGAGCGTTATACGCAGTCGACTGTATAACTCTCAGGGTTATGCGCAGCCGACTGCGTATAACGCTTCCCTTTAATTAATGTATGTTAATTTTTAAGTTCATGATTATGTTTCTTAAATTGTATGTAGAGCATGGTGAGCCCAGCCCTAGGCTGGTGTACCACGCTATATAAAACCACTACTAATATTATTATTATTAATTATAATAATAATTTTAGCATCAAAGAAAAACCTATTTGTGTTATCTGTGTCTCTTTCTTCAGTTCAGAACGCAATAATTAAGCTGGCATTCGGTGAAGTTTAGCTAAATCCACATATAACCTGCAGTGATAGATTTGACCTCATAATCATGGCAGAGTTGTACAAACCTGGGGATAAAATCTTTGCCAAGATGAAAGGCTACCCTCACTGGCCTGCTCGGGTAAAACCAACAAAAACTTTCATCTTTCCTTTAATTGATTTTGTACCAATCAAAAAAGGTGTCTTTTTCAATGACTTTGCAGAAATGCATGTCAAAAGCTAGCCATCTAATAATAAGTTAGGACATATATATTTTATAATTTATAAACTTATGAAAATTATTCTATAAGTGCAAAAGTGTGTTCAATATGAATAGTTGCTTAAATGTATATTATTCTTATACTTTTCAGATTGATTATATTCAGGAGGGCTCTGTGAAAGCACCAAAAGGGAAATATCCAATTTTTTTCTATGGAACCCATGAAACGTATGTTTTAAAATTATTTTAATTTCTTACATATACTATTATAATTGTCAGAGTACCTGATATAAAAAATAACTTAAACAATAAAACATGTTACAACCATGTATTATTTTATTGACTAACGCTGATGACAATAGTATTTTTTAAATTTGCAGTTCAGCATTTGAAATAAGGAGCAAAAATCATATATTTTGAGAAATCTTAATAGTAATTAATTTGTATGCTTAAATGCTTTTTTGCTGACTCAGTGCTGTTAATGTGAAAAATAAATAATTGAACTCCATAAGTACATTTAAAAAACATCAGTGTTTGAATTTTAAAATATGCCACCAAAGAAAAAGTTAATCATGTCCCAAATATTTTGTTTCAGTGCTTTCTTGGCTCCCAAAGATATTTTCCCATATGAGAAATACAAGGACAAGTATCACAAGCCCAATAGTAGAACAGCATTCAATGCAGGATTGTGGGAGATCATCAACAATCCAGATGTTGTGTTTCAACCTGCGGTCAGCTATTTGCTATTTTTTAAATTAAAAACTTGTTTAATTTCCCTTTTTGGTGGAATAAAAAAAAAAATTCAAATTATATTTAATAAAGTTGTAAAAGTTATCAATTTTTGTTGTTGCATTTAGTCACCATGTGTGCATAGAATGGATTTCATTTTTTTGAAAGTAAAACTCTTCTCACAAGTACAATGTGCACCAACAGTTTCCATTGCCAAGTAGGAGCATGAATTAAGTCTTTTTTAAATATATAAAAATACTGTGTATAACTAAGGTACATGTACATCAAGTGTATTTACATTGGTTATCTGTTTTAGAGACCGACCGAAAGTGATTTTTTGATTTCGGCCGAAGCCGAAAATATGCCGAAAGATTAAAATGACTTTCGGCCGAAACCGAAAAAAATGCCGAAAGTTAAAAAATGACTTTCGGCCGAAACCGAAAAAAGGCCGAAAGTTAAAAATGAATTTCAACCGAAACCGAAAATGAAATATTAAGATATTTTGAAATTCGTTGTATACATTCTGCATACATCGAAAATGATGTGGGAAAGTATAAATATTTACATTCTTTTTATAAAAAATGAGATACTCGTGAATATTAATAAATAAACTTCTTATATAGGGGTCTCAAACTCGCGGCCCGCAAACTCATTTGTGACCCGCAAGACGATATTTTGCGGCCCGCTACATGACAGAAAAGTTTAGCGTTAATGCGCCGGCCCGTTTCCCCCATTCTCATATCTATAACGTGACTCCGCGACGGTTTCAGTCGAATCTCACCAACTAGTCTAATTCTGATTTATTTTTTTTTTTAAAATGTTTTTATATATTTTTGTATACAACAGTGAGTAGGTGGATGAAAGTGAATCCTAGTTCTTGAGAACCCTTAATGATTTTATTGTTATTTATAAAGGTTGAGCAGATTGTAACAGTTGTAATCGCTTTTTTTTGGATTACTTGATGCGGCCCACTCTCATTCAGACACTAACTCCTGCGCCCCCCTGATGATTTGAGTTTGAGACCCTTGATGTAATGAATACTTTGGATTTTACCATTTTAATATAAAAGTAATTTAAATTGCTTTACAATTTTTTAAAATTAGTATGGTAAGAGAAAATTTGGCCAAAACATGAGGGGTGTGGGGCAAATTAATGAAAAATATGATTTTTTAAAACCGGGTCTCTAAAAATTGTTGTTCTGATATGGTTCTAAAAGATCGCTTAATTGGTTCTGAAAGGTCGCTTTATTTGTTTTTAAATAAGGTTTAGTTTTTTGTTAAATATCGTTAGTTGCTTGCTATTGATCGGTTAGTTTGTTTTTAAAGATCGTGAGTTTGTTCTTAAAGATCACTTAGTTTTTTGTTAAAGTTCGTCCAGTTTTTGTTAATGATCGCTTTATTTTACTTAAAGATTGGTTAGTTTGTTCATAAAGATCGCCTAGTTTGTTGTTAAGGATCCTTTAGTTTTTTCTTAAAGATCGCTTAGTTTGTTGTTAAAGATCGTCCAGTTTTTGTTAATGATCGCTTTATTTGTTCTTAAAGATCGTTTAGTTAGTTCATAAAAATTGCTTAGTTTGTTGTTAAAGATCTTTTAGTTTGTTCCTAAAGAGCATTTAGTTTTCTGTTAAAGATCGCTTAGTTTATTCTTATAAATCATTTAGTTTACTATTAAAGATCATTTGTTTTGTTCTTAAATATAATTTAGTTCGGTCTAAGAATCTTTTATTTTTTTTCTTTGTTATTAAAGATTGCTTAGATGTTCTTAAAGATCGCTTAGTTTGTTTTAAAGATCGTTTAGTTTGTTCTTAAATGTCGCTTAGTTTGTTGTTAAATATCGCTTTCACTGAGTATTAGATGACCAAAAACCTGAGTCACTTTCGGCCTATGGCCGAAAGTCTAAGTCAATTTCGGCCGAAACCGAAGAAAAACCGAAAGTTAACTTTTCTCTTTTGGCCGAAACCGAAATTAAGCCGAAAGTTAACTTTTCAGTTTCGGCCGAAACCGAAACTTGGCCGAAAGTGATAAAATGGCCACTTTCGGCGCCGAAGCCGAAGCCGAAATTCGGTCGGCCTCTAATCTGTTTTCCCTGCTGTTACATGTGACTTTGACTCAGAAATTGAAGCAGAATATTGTAATGTCACATTGTGAGTTGGTGTAGAACCCTTTTCAAAATTTTTTTATATTGACAAGCGCTAAAGCTAATTACTAAAGTTCTTGGACACTCTAAAATGAAATAAATTCTTTTAGGGGCAGCCTCCAAAAATATTTTTGTAATATTAAAATTGTAAACATATCTAGAAAATCTGTTTTTTGCCCTCATTTGTCTTTTTTTTTTTTATTATCAAAACCTTGAGATGCACTTGTGAAAAATGCTGACACACCATTTGAAAACCAATGCTGTAGGATGTTCCATATTAGCAATGGATACTAAGTTGTTAGCTATCACAATTGAAAGTTGCTCTATTTTTATTTATTTTTTAACAGCTTTACAAACATTTGTACTATGTATAGATAAAGCTTAGCTTAGCTTAAGACCATTGAAAAACTCCCATGAAAACAACCATTTATTCATTACAGACCTAATTAATAGTTAGGAGATGAGTAAGAAGCTCTTGGGTAAAACAGTAAAGCCGCCATCTCCTAAATTCCTTTTTCTTTTCAGACTTTATTAGGTAAAAAGCAACTTTCACTTATGATGGTCCTTGTTGGGAAGAGTTGTCTTTCCCTCTTGTTAGTTTGTTGTTTTCCTTGTTCCCAGGTTACTAACATACAGCTCTCTGAACCTCCTGTTGATGATGATGATGTACCTGTTGTTGATGATGAAATGGCTGATGATGATGATGACCAGGAAGAGGTTGTCCCACCTAAAGGAAAAAAGGTATAGATGTCTGGATTGTAGAAGTTGTCAGCTGTGTGATTGGTGTTTAAGGGGGTAGGCGCCTGAGAAAATCTTAATTTTTACCAAAATTATCAATTTTTTTTCTTTTCATTTTTTAAAAGTTCTACATTCATAGAATCGACTACATGTAAATTGGTACTATTTTAAAACTGGGATAATGATAAACAATTGATTTTAAACTCCCTACCTCACTGAAAAAGTTGACCTAATTTTAAAAAGATGGTGAAATATTGATCAATGTACCCTTGTTTAACACCTAGAAAACGCTATTCTAAAATATCAGAATATGCCATTATAATATATCAACGTAAGGTAATTTCGTTGGCAATTTTACTATCCTGAAATACATGCGGTAAGTATATTGACCATAAATATTCGAGCCGTCAAATGTATCCAAAATAACGATATTTCACTGGTCGACAATTTTTTCATTGGTGTAAAATGTTAGTAATCATGACTCTTATTTGTTCACGCATGCGCAGCCCAGTATTTTCCTTCGAATTTTACTTCCTAGCGGCTCATTTCTCAGCCTGACTCTGTTCCGACAGCATTGCTTTCCAACATTTTTTTCTAGAAATAAATTATAATACGCTCATCCAAGATGCCTAAAAAGGGATACCGATATGGTAAATGCAAGAAAAATACAAAACCTAGAGGAATTCATTCACGGAAACTAACTGAACCTTTGAATTCAAGGTAAGATTACTTAATATTAGTACTAGTCTTAGTCTTAGTAGTAAAATTAGAAATTAAGACCACGATGGCCAAGCCATAGTTCATACTAAAAGTACTAAAACTAGTATTAGTGGTAGAAGTCTCTTTTTAAAATTAGTAGGCTTGGTGTGACCATGCTTCCTGGTGTGTCCATTGTTTATCAGGATTAGAAATGAAGACCACGATGGCCAAGCCATAGTAGTTCATACTAAAACTAGTATTAGTGGTAGAAGTAGAAGTCTCTTTTTAAAATTAGTAGGCTTGGTGTGACCATGGTGTGTCCTTTGTTTAGTTTATTGGGGGGTTGGGGGGGGATTTAACATTGGGAACTGATTTAGTTAGTATACATTTACATTTTACATAGATAATTTTTGTTGTTTATGTGGGAAATAGATAATTTTTGTTGTTAACGTGGGACATGATTATGATGATTGACGAACTTTATAGCATAATTATGGTTTAACAAAAGTTTTTTTCAGGGGGCATACATTACAAAACAAATGATTTAAAATCATAAGAAGACCTCAGCTAATTAATTCATTTTAATGATGATGGAAATTAATTCTTGGCTATTTATTTCAATGGGGCATACAACTACAATTTTTTTTTTTAGTTTTTAAGATTATAAACCTAATGCAAACTACTTCAGATTAATAAATAAAAATAATTGATGTTGATGTGTTACTGTTACTTTATTTTTTCCAGCTCATCCACGGTTGCTGACTTGAATGAGCCTGCAGTCATGACAGAAAATACTAATCCCCTAAACAGCAGTAGAGCGGAGCAGAAGTTTACTGTTTACAGTAATGCGACAGAAGGAATAGTTGATAACAACTCCTACAAATGTGCAAATTGTAGAGGCAGCAGTCTACAGCTATTTACAAAAAAAACAAATGGTATGGCTGCCCATGTACAAATTTACTGTCCAGACTGTAGGTCGGAGTGGTCAGATTGGACATCTGCACAAGTCAATAAGCAGTTCGACATTAATTACCGAACAATCATCGGTTGCAAAGACAATGGTATTTGGTACGCCAAGTTGCATTCGTTGCTTTCAGTCATGAATATGCAATCACAGATGCACCACAAAACCTATTATAGGTTGTCCAAAACTGTCAGCACAGCAGCAAAAGAAGCAGCAGATGAAGCAATTTGTGCCAAGCTGCTCGTGTTGTTTGCGAAAGAGCTAAAGCAGCAGACCCTCAACCAGACCAAGCCAAAAGCAAAACAGGTTGTCCCATCATCACTGTGTCGTATGTTGGCACTTGGTAAAAGCGAGGCCATTCATAGCACAACGGGGTGAGCGTTGCGATCGACGTCGACAGTGGCCTAGTTTTAGACACGCAGGTGATAAGCAATTATTGCAAAATGTGCGCAGTTGGGCCAAAGGCAGGTTCACTTGAATATCTAACCTGGATGGAAACTCACAAACCAAAATGTCAGAAGAATGAAGATTGCTCGTCCAATGCAATGGAGACTGTGGCAGCCAGGATGATCTTTTCAAGATCAGTTGAGAAGAGAAAATTAATTTATGGCACAATGCTTTGTGACAGAGATGGAAAAGCATTCAACGAAGTGCAGAAATGTTATGGCATTGAAGTAACAAGAGGATTGCATTAATCCCATTGCAAAGAGAATGTTTAATGCTTTGGAAAATTTTAAAAAATCAAACAAACAAACTTTAAATCGAAAACTAACAAAGCCAGTTATTGAAAAAAATAACAAACATCTATGCGAAAAATTTAAAAGACAGCGCTCAACCACAGACTTTGTCCAGGGGAGGAAAATTCATAGTGCCATTACCAGAGAGCGTTAAAGACTGGTGTCCATCAGAAGCACACACCTACATTTTCTTCGCAAGTGGGGAGTATAATCTACCCCATCATTGTGAGACTGACAGTCAAGTCTGCTTCAACGTTGTGCTAAAATGGGTACGCAGAATGCCAAGGAAAGTTTCAACGCATGATTTGGCAGCGCTGCCCTAAAACTGTGTTTTCTTCGATGGCAGCAGTGGAGACAGCAACATCGCTTGCCACTTTGGCATTTAACTGTGGACCAGTGGGACTGAAGATGGTAATGGAAAAAATTGGACTAAAGTGGGGGCACTTTGACAATACCTTCTCAACAAGGATGTTCAAATCTAAATGCAATGCTTCAAGAAAACAGACACTGGGCATTTCCAAGTGGAAAAGGAAAAATCTTTAAAAAAGAACGCATCGAGCGAGAAAACCTCAACGAAGTTAACTCTTTCTCTCCGGAACACCGCTCCCATCATTGATTTGGAATGAAGATTTTGGCGTATCGACGATGGCTGTATAATAACCTGTTTATTTTGGTTCTTTTCTTAGCTATTGGTATTTAGTTATTTTAAATAAATTCTAGAATGATTTCCTTTGATAAACATCCGGTTTTCTATGTTTGAACGAAGAACGAATTGTTTGAAGCGGTTGTTTTGATTGTCCATTTTATTTTTGTTTACAAACATGAAATCTTGACCTGACCCATCTGGTGATCAATCTAATAAAGGTTGAAATATTAGTCTGATGATGATTCAGACAGTGATTTTATTATTTCAAATGCAGAAGCCGATTCCTTTGAATAGTATGATTATCATACTAGCATTAGTAGTACTAGTGACGAGATAATGAAATTGGTAATTCATCAGCTGATGAACAACCAGCCCCTTCCCCAGCTAAAGTGCACATCAATATGAATTGTTTTTAGCTAAATACAGATGAAAAGATATGACAAAATATGGTAAATGTTCCATTTACCATTATAAATGTTAGTACATACAAGAAACAGTGCAAATATTATTATAACAAATTGTTTCCAGTGGAAATAGTACAAAAAATTTCGCACATTTTTTGTGTGATGTGATAATGGATAATGTGCTCTGAGGTTTAATTTTATTCGTTTTTTAAAGTTGATCTTTATTATTTGTGATGCACATATGGATATAGTTCAGAAAAAAAACATTTTTGTTACACTTTGGATTATATATTTCTCCTCGTGTGACTTGGAATGAGCGTTTTGTGAACAGTTGGTAAGTTTTTTAATTTTTATTTTTCTGAAATCATAATCATATTTATATATTAAAATGTAAAACCGTCTGGTTTGCTTGTAAAGGGCATACATTCTCCTTTAATTCTATACCAAACTTAGCACTTTCTGATGAAAAACAAAAAAGTTATGAAGGTTTAGAGACAACATAGTAGTGCATTACAAAAACGCAAAATAGATACTTCCGTCAGAATGCGGAAAATAATTCCGGAGAGAAAGAGTTAAAGAAGGTGAAACCTATGTTCGTGGGGCTTTTAACAACTGATTGCAGTTAAAATGATATTGTCCATGATGATCTACACAAAAAAATATGTAACATCATCATATTTCTGTAATAAACATTTTTTTTTGCACTTTGAAAGTTTAAAATAGATTTTTCTCAAAATTGTTCTTTTCTGTTGTTTTGTAACGTAGAGTTCTAAAATCTCAGCTAATATAAAAGCTAGAGTTCTAAAATTTGGTGTGTATCTTCCTTTAACTATTTTGTGGGTAATGAGCTATTCAAAAGTCAATTTGGTCAATTACTTTTTTAAAATGATTTTTTAAAATTCCTAGGATTCTAAATTTTAACCATTTTCTGACGAGGCAAATTTTAAAAACTAAAAAAAAAATGTTTTAAATAGTTTAAAGGAAATTAAACTAGCTCAGTACCTCTAAATATAATTGAAATTCATGAATCAATAATTTTGTAAGCAATATGTATATTTGTTTTTAAAATTTTAACACTCTACGAATAGGTGTTATTTTCAAAATGGCTGGCGTTGTCATGGCAACTGTATACTTTTTCTCCTTTTAAAGCATGAAAAAATATCTCCATTCATAGCTAAACATGACCATAATAAAATATTAGCTCTAAGTTGGTTAATTTAAAAAAAAATTTTTGGTAACCTGCCCCCTTAAAATGATCTCTTCATCAGTTACTTTCAGATTAAAGCCATATAAAAGTAAGATGCTTTCAGTATTTTTAATTCTAATATATTGTTATTCCTTGTTATTGAATGTAAGTTATCTATATTAGATCATTTTAACTTGAACTTTTACAGACTCAAGCAAAGAAAAACCAGGCACAGAAACGAAAGCGAAAGGAGAGTTCATCTTCTCTAGTACGTGACAGTTGTTGGTTGTTTGCAACTATTATCATATTCATTTAAATATATTTATGTTTTATCCAACTATATATTTCTCTCTTTAAATAATATGATGTTATAGTAGCAACAAGATGGGTGACTTGCAAATTTGTATGTGTACAAAAATTGTTGAAAAACGGGAAAGCGTTGAATGAATATCAATATAAATGTATAAAATCAATGCAGGAAGCAAGGGTAAGACTACGGGAGTAAACCCAAACTGTAAAATCTGGAGACAGAGTCCCGAAGTGGATCTGATGCTGATATGAATGTCATTTCGGCAACTTCTGCGAAGCAGTTCGCGCCAAGTTGTTTTGACAGTTGTCATTCCTTTGGATCCACTTGCTGTGTGGATAGTGAGAATCTGCTGCTTTGGGCAACAGCTGGTCTCCAAAAAATACCACCCAGGCCAAATAGCTGCACTGGTGATGATACTTCATAAGGAGCAGAGCTTCTTTTTGTAAAGCTAGGCTAATAAATAGAAGGAAGACTCCACTGCATCGCAACATGGAACCTAAGAACCATTTTTCCTGGATATGACACCATCTGTAGACTAGGACCTCACAATTTGACTCACCAGACATTAACATTGCCTGCCCCCAAAAGACCGGCTAATGGTACCATCAAGGAAGGCAACTACACATTCTACTGGCAAGGGAAGCCCGCAGATCAACCTAGGCAACATGGTGTAGGATTCACCATAAAAATACCCTTGTCTGCATTGAGTCTCCATCATTGGGATCAGAGAGGATTCTGGGCCTACGGTTGTCTTCTTCATTTTCTTCTCAATGCCTTTTCAGTTTGCCTTTAGGGACTGTGAAGAAGGAGTGTACACACAGAAGAAGTTCTGCAGCGGTTAGTTAATCGCCTCTCTCAGGCATGTAAAGTGTTTGGACTGATCAATAGTCTACATAAAACAAATGTCATCATACTAGTCCCCTCCAAACATAACTATTGAGGGCCATAATCTGTCGGTAGTTGAGAATATCTCTAGGCACCTATGGCTAAATTGAATAAGCTGGCAGGGAATAATCTTTAACTAACTGAAAGTACAAATCTAAGCATCTATCAGGCATGTGTGTTTAGTATGCTCCTATATGGCAGTGAAGTGTGGACCATGGGTGCCACTTGTCCTGGTTATTCTGGATTCGTGAGGCTTAATATTTTTCAGCTCCGGATTCAGGAGTTTTTATATTCTCTTGCTCCGGATTCACCAGTTCAATTTATTCAAATACTGATTCTGTCTGATTTAAAAAAATTAGAATAATAATTAATGTGTAATAGAATGCGCAAAAGCCTATTTAAATTTGTCGAGAGTGTGTTCGCTAAAAACCGAGAAAATTCCATGAACATTGACGTTAATCGCCGACCTCGTCTATATTTTTGGCCTTTCTTTTGCCAGTGTGCTAGTGGTTTCCCTTAACTGCACATGCACTTTGAGCGCTACTAGTTTCAAATACCGCACCACTTTGATAGACCAGAAATATTTCTTTTCTGTTCACATCGCCGATCAAGAGATGTTTGAAGTGTTTGGGTAAGTAAAGTTTAAAGTTTAGTCAATTATTTTTCTGAATTTTGTTTTCAATTTTTGGGGAGCCATTGTTATGAATAGAAAACTACTCACCGTACTTTGTTTTACTGTATGCAGAGGACCTGTATTTTTTTTTATTAGAGCAAGGCAGCATTTATTTTATTAAAGAATTCTCAAGTTCACTTTACATTTAATTATGGAGTAAGCTTTCTAAATTTAAAAAGGCTAATATGATTAAGTTATTTTATTCATTCAGTAGTGAGCCTAATAATAATATAACTGTATTTAGTTAGTCTTTATTTATAGTTTTAGTCTTTATTTATAGTTTTGCACTCCTGTGCTCTGACTCTCTACTATACTTTACAGTAATTCTAAGCTACTATTTAAAATGATATTTACAAAGATCTGTATTACCGTAGTTTCGTACTGGTTTACTATAGTCTATATTATATAGTCGTTACTATAAATTATAAATCTAATATAATATAATTTTGTTTCACTATTCAGGATCTAGGCTCAATAAAATAATGCCCAACTGTTCCTTTGAAGAACTGATGGCAAGATGGGCATTACAGCAATCATGATTGTTATACTATGCTGGAAATATTGATATTAAGTATTCAAGGGGGAAATGTTTAAAATGTCAATCATCTGATGAGACCAGCTTTATCACCTTTCTTAGGTGTCCACTTCTGCAACTTCTTAATTTATGTCTCAAAATATGAAACTCTCACAGAGATTTTGGAGACTATCCATTTCATCATAAAGAAGAGAACATTAACTCCATATTTATTTATTTATTTAGGCATTTTTATATAGGGCTTACCATAAAGCTCTAAGCGCTTTACAATTATTAAAAACATGTAAACTAAGTAAAATAAAATGAGACACTAGGATAGTAACTACTATACTATAGAAACAATGAAAATGGCTATAAAACGAGGACACTTTGACACGTTTTGGCCTATACTTCAGGAACAACCCGAAACAGAAAATGAGGCAGGGCAATATAATATAAGAAAAGATTCTTTCCATTTGTGGTAGCTATACGTTTGTTCTAAAATGCCCAGATAAAAGTTGACTTTTCAAGTCTAAGTAAATTGAAAAATTGCAATTGCTTGGAAATTTAATAAATTTTTGCATGTATACACCATAATAGCATAATTTTTTTGTATTTCAATGTGTTTGCTTTGACAATTTCATTCTTGTTTTTATATTAATCAACAAAACGCCGCATTGCAATAGTCAGGAATTTTGAGTTTCATTAAGTTTCAGGGTTTGAAAAATTTGTAAATGAAGTTTCAGGTTTCAAGAAATTTTTAGAAAGGGATTTCCCGGGTTCACAGCTTTCAGTCAGTTGCACCCCTGGTGTGGACTAAATATTCCAGTCATAAGCGGAAACTCAACAGCTTCCACGAAAAATGTCTGCGCCACAATTCACACATTCAATGGCATGAAAAAGTGCCACAGAGGTTTTGGAACATGCCAAAATGTGTAGCAAGTTGTGCACTCTTAGCATGAGGCGCTTTCCAGGTTAACTCTCTGCAGTCTGACGTTTTTTTCACATTTCTTAAAAATCTTAAGGTGATTTTTTAAAATAATTAATTAAATGATCTGAAATAGCTCTGATCTAATCAGTTAATATGTTAACTTGTTCATCTTTGACTCAGCTATCATTAGATATTTTTTGTATATTTTATTTTCTTAGTTATAAAAATAATTGAAACATTATTGGAGAATTATTTTTTTTTATTTTATGCAAAGTTTTGACAAAATTTTCACACAGTATGAAGGGAAAAAAAAAATCCTTGCCTATAAAAGATTTAAAATTTATTTAAATAAAATACTTCATCATCTAATACAATTCATAGTCAAATATGACAAAAATTCTATGAACAATCAAAAAGTTGTCAACATTTTAGCAAAACCTATATTTTGTCATTTTTTCCTAAAAAATGCACTATAATTTTTCTTTTAATTAAAATTATGTTTTGTCTGTATCATATTTTTAAAAAATGGGCCTCATAGCTTATAGATTTGTATATTAAATATATTTCTTAATAATTCTTGAGTAAAAGATAACTATGTAAAATTTGATGATTGTATAAATAACTCAAAACAAGAGTCAATGTTGTTGTTTTTTTTAAATTTTAAAATAGCGGTATTCGCTGATGTTAAAGTTAAAAAAAATTAAAATGTTTCAGTACAATAATGCTAATTTTGATATTAATGTCAAATACGATCCATTCCTCACTATGATCTATTTTTTCCCATGTACCAGCATTTTTATATATCTTTGTTATAATCCTCACATAACACAGCCTGATAAACTACCGTATTCTTTAATTATATTTATGGACTCTGAACAAATATTATTCTTAAAACAGTCTGCAGTTTTATTATAATAATTATATTTGATAAATAAGAGCTTGTCCTGGACTTAATTTCTACATAAGATTTGGTAAGATTTTTCACCACAGAATATTCACTCAATAAAGAACCTGTGAAAAAAAATTTTTGATTGATTCATAAATAAATTAACACTAATGGTATCAGTAATGGTATGCTATCAGTAAGGGAAAATACCATTAATCCTAGTCCAAATGACTAAATTAGTATAAAAGTAAACCATTGTACATAGAAAATACATTATAACATATGTTATAACAATATTGTGAGTTTATTCTTTATGCATTTTGCTACCAAGTGATTAGATTAAAACTTACCACCACTTGTTTTTAGGGTAAAATCTTCAAAGATATTCATCCAGTAACTCTGTAACTCAGTAAAAGGGTGGAGTCCAGGCTTAATATTTAGGATCAATAAGGAATAAGGGCTTCTTGATCCAATATCTGCATTTTTGTCTCTCTCTCCTCCTTCCCATTAGAGTTAGAGAGCTTTTAATAAAAACATAAATGTTTTATTTTTATTCTGCCGACAGTAGTCTCTACTAATACTAGTGACTAGCGATAATGATAATTAAATTTAAACACATTTCTACTATGCAATATTAGAAAATTTAGAAGATTATTCTTGGCTGTAACATATTTTAAAGAAATATATTTAGTTAATAACTCAGAAGTCCTTAACTTAAAATTTATTTAATTACGCAAGTTCCAATCCAATCGGCCGAAATTTTCCGCTATTTTTTTAAAATATTTATTTCGCATAGCGACGCTATTTATTTATTATATAATTATTGAAACTCAATAAAATTCAAATAGAATATATCAATATAAGTATTAATTGATAATATATACTTCAGCCAATTAAAATTATAAAAAGATCACTTTACTGTTTTATTATTAATTTTAAAGTCGGGAAATGATAATTAAAATTAAGCTTACTTGTTTACGATAGCATTAGTCGGTACTTTTATTTGCAAATCGTGATAAATTTCATGATTAGAGTCTCCATTTGGATACATTACTTTAGACAAACAAATAACTCCTTGATAAATCTGGAAATTAAAATAATATGACAATATTCATACTACTATTTAATTTTCTTTGTAAGACTTATATTTTTTGTTTTTTTGGAAATCTGCGAAGCTTTCAAGGGATAATTCCAGACCTGTTTACTCTTACGATTTTGGCGTACAATGTACGATTTTAAGATGTATACATTATATATACTGTATGTTTATTTTTTACTATTAAGATAATGTACTGAACGATTTTGTGATGATATTGTACGATCTTAAGAGTTTAAGGGTAAACAGGTCTGTAATTCGCACTGAATAAGTTTCCAACAATATTTTTTTTAATAGTAATTTCAAATTTTGTAATAATTTTAATTTTTTTACAAATACTTAAACCAATGAAACAAATTATTAAAATATAATAAATAATTTTTTTCAATAAAAAAAAAAGTTAAAAAATAAATAACCCACCCACAAAATCTATGGTACTTATAAGTACCATCTCTCTATAGTCGGACTGCAGAGAGTTAAGCCATGTAAGGAGGATAGAGGAAAGTAGAAAGGATCTGCTGTATGGAGAGTTGGCAGAAGGGGCAAGACTTATTGGATGGCCGCAGCTGCGATTTAAGGACGTTTTTAAAAAGAGCATGAAGGTACCCTAAATCGAAATCAAGGAATGGGAAATCAAGGCTGAGCACTGTTTAAGCTGGCGAACAGCATGTTTGAAGGTGTCAGAAAGGCAAAAGATGTGGAAAACAAAGCACTTGCAACAAAAATTGCATTACAGAAAGTCAAATTTAATTAGGAGTCAAGGTTATCCTGCGAGAAGCGCAGCCAAGACTGTCATTCCAAGATCGGCCTCGTAAGCTGTCTGTTGAAGTTAAGCTACTCCATGGTCTTGCAAAGAAGGAAGGCTTTTGTTTTCTCTTTGCTGACTTTTTTTCTGTTATTATTTTTTTATTATTAAAGCTGACAATTTTATTAAAGGCAATAAAAACAGTGCAACTAAAATAAATCCTGTAAAAGCTTTTACTAGATAGCTTGAATGCATTTAACTGAGTGTTTTAATGTATATGAAGAATATGGCCACTGGATTAGAAAGATGATTAATAATGTATGTTACATGAGAAATATATTTGCAGATCTTTTCACTTCTGCGTTTGCTTAAAAGTCACAAGAAGAACCTTATTTTTATTTCTTCTTAATGAAAATGGTGTTAAATTAAAAAATTGTATTTCCATCCATGATTTAATTATATCTTTGGATTCTTGTGTTACAGGCAGAAAAACCTGCTGCAAAGAAAGCTAGAGGTGCACAGACCCCAAAGGGCAAGAAAAAAGCCTCCAGCAGAACCTCCAGCGTGGCTTCATCTGTGAAGGCTGAAGAGGAGGAAGATTTTGAAGCCAGCGCCCCCCCCAGTGATGATTCAGGTGATGAGGTAAGTCTGAAATTTTTAGTACATGCTGACGCAGACCTGCCAACACTTCCGATTTTATCGGAATTATACAGATTTCTTGCCCCTCATTCCGACCTTCCGACAAAACCCTTAAAATTCAGATTTTTCACCCGTCAAAAAAATCTGAAAGTGACCACAAGAAAAAAAATAATCGGGTACGACAGGAAGTGTTGCATTAATTTTGTTTTTATGAAGTCTGTCACCCTTGTCACGTGACCGCTATTTGTTGATCAGAGTTTACAGTATGTCATTTCAACAAATTAAAGATAGTCTAGACATTTACATGAACAAGAAATATGTTCAATTCTATAAAAGAAATATTAGAACCATTGCTGGTTTATATAATGAATAATTGGTTAAAAAGTGACAATGTTTTTTATAAAGCATGGTAAGCCCACCTGATGAATATCTCCCGCACTATTTGTCCGGTCGCCTAACCTGTAGACACTGCCTTGCTTTTATCAAAGCGAACCACGATCTTCAAATCATTCTTCAATCATCAATTGATCCGATCGTGATTCATCCTTTTTACAAGGCTTAAAAATAATTCATACTTTTGTTTTTGTTAAAGATCTTCTTAATTAAATGGTTAGATCTATTGAAAGTGATGGGTGCAAGATATAAATAAACATATTTTAACACCCCCCCCCCCCTTCCCAAAAAACAACAACAAAAAAACAACAACATACAATAGCAGCTAAAAGTAAAGATCGTTTTATTTACCACCTTTTTTTTACAATGCTTTAAAATAATTTATAATTTTGTTTTTGTTAAAGATCTTTTTAATTAAATGGGTAGATCTATTGAAAGTGATGGGTGCAAAATATAAAAAAACATATTTTAACACCCCCCCCCCCCTTCCCAAAAAACAACAACAAAAAAACAACAACATACAATAGCAGCTAAAAGTAAAGATCGTTTTATTTACCACCTTTCTTATTGAAGGAAATATTTCTCTAGCCAGCTCTGATCGTTTTAATGCTTGAGTCAAAGAAATGTTTCCAGACTTGCAGAATGCTAGAAGATTGTAAGGAAAAATTACAATGAAACAAGGGCAAGCATGAAAGATAATACATTTTCTAACTTGCTTTTAATTATAATCAGTTGCAATGCTAACATTCAGTTGTCCAAAGAGCTGTTGAACAAGTGCAAAACATGCACTAGCCAGTAAATAAAATGGATCTTCTGTCCTCTTATGTATATATCTGTATATAAACATTTCCAGTAATGTTTTTCTCATGTTCTGTGGCCTCTTCAAAGACAATGGAGGTAACTTTATATTTCTTTATTTACTAAAATAGGCTTGTGCATTAGTATATAGATCTTAAACCAATCCCTCCCATGAGGCGCCATCCCCTGGGGGGCAGCAGCAGCTTTTCCCCCCCTGCTTGCACCCCCTACAGATTTTTTTTTCTTGGTAGGTTGGCAGGTTTGATGATGATTTGTTGTACAATACTAGGTTATTTGGGATTTATAGGTTTATATTTTTAGGATTTACCGTATCCTTCTTTATTATTTGTTAAAATATGATTTCAAATTGTGATGAAATGATACTGTCAGAATTAATTTGCTAATGTGTGAAATAAAAAAAGTATAAAATTCTTCTGTCATTTTGATTGAAAAGCTTTAACAGCTTTATGCATATTCTGTTTGCAATTGGTCTCATGTTTATTTGTTATATCAAACAGGACTTTGAAATGAACTCAGATGATGAAAGTAAAAAAAAAGGAAGAAAGAAATCAACTGGAGGGAACAAGAGAAAAAAAGGTGGAAATGATGCTGATGATGAACAGGATGAAGAAGAAGAAAAAGATTCTCAAGATGAAGACGAGGCTTGTGGCAAGAAGAAGAGAATTACAAAAGTGGCTATCAGGAGGAAGATTCCCAAACCAGGTTAACATTTTCTTACCTTGTCCTCTTCACTGAGATACTTGTTTTTCTTAATTCGCTGTCATAAATTATCTAGGATACACACAGTCTTATACACGTGAGGATGGACAAAAATAGTAATTTGTGTAGCCTATTTCAGTTAAAAGTCTCTATGAAGAAGCTCATTAATAAAGAAAACAATACAACTATTTCTTACCACAAAAGCTGATCAATCAGTTTTATAATGTTCCTTTTAGTTGCTTCGGCCAGCGTATGATAATTTAATAGTTGTGCAGACTTATAAGAATTTACATTATTATTTTTCATAACCACCTAGTGCATTGTGATCTTGAACAACCTACATATAAAGCATATAAAGGAACTGAATGTAGATGAAGTAGTGACAAAAAAATCTTTTATTTATGCTTATAATAACATAGTTATCTTGTTGACAAGTTGACAGCATTTGAAAGGTGCTAAAATCTACTTAAGAAATCAATTTCAGTTAAAGAAATCACATAAAATAAAATAATTATTCAGAACCAGTAGCCATTTTGTGCACGTGACCTTAGGCTTTATGCCAGTTATTTAATACTCATAAAATTATGTCATTTAGCCAATTTTTTAGAATAATTTTGGTCACTTCATGAGTTTCTATCTTCATATCAGAAGCAAGATAATCATCGGCATAGTTCAAGTAATTGAGCAGAGACATGAATTGCATTTTTCTTTTATTCTCTTATACATTATGTGACAGTAACTTACTTTCTTCTTGAAGATCATATTTTCTTTCCAAAAATTGCATTTGAAATTGATGTAAACTGAAGCAAGCCAAACAAAATGTTTAGTGATAATTTATTACCCTTTCATTTGAAAATACTTCAATATTTTAAGGTAATAAAAACTTAAAAATTACTAAAACAAAACTGCACATCCAAAAAAACAAGCAGGAATGACAAATGAATTGACAAATCTATGCTACAACTGTCAAGGGGTTTTAAACAGTTGATATAGCCATCAGTGAGGATGGTTATAACTTAACACTGTGATGGGTTTATTTGAATGGATGAAAGTAGTAAGTAACAACCCCAGGGAGTTAATGATGATAAAAACTTGAAATGTGCCCCAATGTGGCATGACTACCATTTTATTGGTATCATGTTGTATGAAGCTAGTTAACTCATAAAGATCTTTGGCTTCTTCTTGGTCTATTTCATTCTTCTAATGTTCATATTTCTTGTAGCCTGTTGATTTGACAAGTTTTATTCAAATTGTTCATTAGCACCTGCTAGTAACAAGCGGACAAAAGACAAGAGGAAGTCTGAGGGTGATTTATCTGATGGAAGTCTTGGCTCCATGTCAAGGTAAAATTTAACAGATTCTTTTATTGATCCAAATAAATGGAACTTTTTTTATTTCATTGTACAAATTCATTTTCGGCAAATAAATAAATTCAAATTTTAACCAAGACATTTTACAACTATAAAAATTTAAACACAAGACATCTAAAGCATGTCTTAAGTGTAAGAAACAGCCATCATTGAACTCCCATAGTGACAATAATGGCTTAATAGGTGATCATTTTGATTTGGGAACCCCTGGGGGGAAAAACTTGTAAATTCATGCAGACTGGGGACCCCAAGGATTTGTTTATTTTAGTAATGAATATGTTTGAAAGTTTATGGTGAACTACTGTTCGCTGACGATGCCGCCTTAACATCTCACACAGAAGAAGGTCTTCAGGGGCTGGTTAATCATCTATCACACGCTTGTAAAGAGTTTGGACTTTCGAATCGTCTACAGTAAACACGTAATGATGCAAGAAGCACCAACCCCTCGTCATATCTATTGAGGGTCATAATCTTTTGGTTGTTGAGCATTTCACATACCTTGGATCTCTCCCTCAATGAAGATATATATATATCAGGATTGCAAAATCAGCAGCAACTGTGGCTAAACTGAATAAGTGGGTGTGGAATAATCTCAGTCTAACTGATAAAACAAAAATTAGTGTCTATCAGGCATGTGTGCTTAGTAAGCTCCCATATGGTAGCGAAGTGTGGACCACATATACCAGTCAGGAGAGGAAACTCAACAGCGTCCACCAAAGATGTCTGCGTTGCATTTTACACATTTGATTGCTTGGCAAGGTGCCTACCACGGAGGTCTTGGAACGTGCACACATGTTTA